CTAGAAATCAATCTTTCAAGGCTTAACTTGTGTTCATTCAGAGGCCATAGGAGCTCTAAAGGCATGAATTGAAGGAGGAATGAATGACTATAAAATGTGTTGCTGTGGTCTTCCCAAGAGCAGCTACCAGGGACATCTCCAGGCTTCCTCAGATAACTACAAGAGAAGAGACAGACAGTTGCAGTCATGTCTTCCAAGTTCCTGGTTCTCCACTAGCGCCTACTGATTGCCCACTGAATGGCCTCCTAGAACCAGGACCCAGCCGTAGCCAGCGTCATTTCCGCCGGGAAGGGGACTGAGCCCAGTGGGGTTGCTGCCCAGGGCTCTGTGGGCAAGAGGTTACAGCAGGAGCTGATGACCATCATAATGTCAGGAGATAAAGACATTTCTGCCTTCTCTGAATCAGACAACCTTTTCAAGTGGGTGGGGACCATCCATGGAGCAGTATAGGAAGGCACAGTATAAGAAGATCCGAGGTATAAACTCTCCCTCCAGTTCCCCAGTGGCTACCCTTACAAGGTGCCCACAGTGAAGTTCCTCACACCCTGCTACCACCCAAATGTGGACACTCAGGGTAACATCTGTCTAGACATCCTGAAGGACAAGTGGTCTGCCATCAATGATGTCAGGACCATCCTCCTCTCAATCCAGAGCCTGCCCAGAGAACCCAATATTGATAGCCCTTTGAACACACATGCTGCCGAGCTCTGGAAAAACCTCCACAACCTTTAAGAAATACCTGCAGAAGAAACCTGTTGTTGTTGTTGTTATGTGCCATCGAGTCGGTTCCGACCCATAGTGACCCTATATAGGGTTTCCGAGGGTGTAAATCTTTACGGGAGTAGAAAGCCTCATCTTTCTCCCGCGGTGCAGCTGGTAGTTTCGAACCGCTGACCTTAAGGTTCGCAGCCCGATTCGTAACCACTACGCTACCAGAACTACTCAAAGCAAATCTCCAGACAAGAGCCCTGACCCCATCTGTCCAGACCCTCCCTGTATTGTCTATTTTTTTTCCTTAGATGGTCTGTCCGTTCCTTGATTTCTGTACAGGACTCTATCTTAAACCGTGCCGTCATTTTGTTTGTTTTAAAATTAACTCTCCTTTTGAGCCCCGGTTATGAATATATTAAATAAATACATTTTGGGTTTGAAAAAAAAAAAGGGGTGGGGGAAGAATGATTCATCATTAATTCATTTTTTTAAGGAACGGTTTTTAAATAAGAAAGATATTTGAACTACAAGAAAGATAAAAATGAGGAATGAATACTATTGTTGTTGCTGTTAAGTGCCACTGAGTTGGTTCTAACTCATAGCAACCCTGTATAGGTTTCCCAGGAAGAGGCTGTTGGGTGTGAACTTCAGACCTTGTGTTTGCTGTCGTTGTCATGTGCCGTGGAGTCAGTTCCAACTCATAGTGACCCTGTACAGGGTTTCTGAGGCTGTAAATCTTTACGGGAGCAGAAAGCCCCATCTTTCTTCCGCGGAACAGCTGGTAGTTTCGAACTGTTGATCTTGCAGCTCGCAGCCTGATTCGTAACCACTGCGCTACCAGAGCTCCTTAGACCTGTGGTTAGCAGTGCAATAAAGTGTAATACTGGGACTACCTCCCACTCTCCCCACCCCTACCCTCACAAAAGCTATAGCCAATTTAAATCAGGAAAGCTGACATTTTTACAATAACTCAATTGGTGTCATTGAGTTCAGCAGCAAAAATACATCTGACCATAGATTTATTGCTTACCTTTGCATATGCTGTTCCTTCTTACTGGATTGTCCTCACCTTCTTCCTTCTACCTATAATTCACTTGAATAAATGTTTTGTATTTCTTTAACAATCCTTCCAGATCTTATTTTGCCATTGTTGTGTTATGACTTCCTTGATTGTCCAAGGCAAAATTAATCCTTCTTTTTTGTATCTTAACATACATTTTTCTAAACAGTTTTTTTTAAGTGTACTTTGTTTTATGCCCATCTTCCCTAAACCCTGGATGCTTAGAGTAACTCTGTATTCCCAGAGCGTGAGTTAGCACATGGTTTTTGTTAAGTGCCGTTGAGCTGGTTCTGACTCATAGTGACCCAATATATGGTTTCTCAGGCTGGAAATCTTTGTGGGAGTAGACAGTCTCATCTTTTTCCCTTGGAGTGGCTGGTGGGTTTGAATCCCCAACCTTGTGGCTCATAGTCCTGTGTGTTTCCTATACCGCCACTATGCTCCCTAGCATAGCACATAGTTGTATTTTTGTTGTTGTTGTTAAATGCTGTTGAGTTCTGACTCATAGACACCCTATATAGGGTTTCCAAAGAGCAGTTGGTGAGTTTGAACTGCTGACTTTGTGGTTCAGCCTGACCTCGTGGTCCAGTGCTTTATCCCTTAGCGCCATACTAGGACTCCTAGTACATAGTAGGTGTTCAATAAATATTTGTTGCAGTAAAGATCTGGAGGAAATTGAAGTTGTTTAAATTAATTTGGAAAGGATTTACAAGGGAAGCTGATTTGCTTATAGAGTAAAAGGTCAAATATTTGCAGAAGAATCTGCAATTGCCTTTCAAATAAATTTTTTTTCTGGTTCTCAGTATTTTAAGTATTGGATATCCTTCCTGATTAAATACCTACTTAGAGAAAGAGCTCTGGAGTGGAACATAAAAGTTACCACATTCCATTAGAGGAATGTTTAGAAATGTTGTTGTTAGATGTCATTGAGTAGATACCGACTCATAGTGACCCTATGCACAACAGAACATTGTCAATCCTTTGTCAGTCTCACACTCATCGCTATGCTTGAGCTCATTGTTGCTGCCACTGTGCCAACCCATCTCTTTGGGTGTCTTCCTCTTTATCGCTGACCCTCCACTTCACCAAGCACGATGTCATGCTCCAGGTACTCGTCCCTCCTGATGATATATCTGAAGTATGAGAGATAAAGTCTGTCTATTGTGGTTTCTAAGGAGCATATGACTGTACTTCTTCCAACACAGATTTGTTTTTCTGGCAGTCCATGGTACTTTAAATATTCTCCTCCAACACCCTAACTCAAATGCATCAATTCTTTTACAGTAAACCTTATTCATTGTCCAACTTACACATGCATATGAGGTTATTGAAAATACCATGGCTTGGGTCAGGTGCACCTTATTCCTCAAACTGATATATTTGCTCTTCAACACCTTAAAGAGGTCTTGTGCAGCAGATCTGGCTAACACAATATATCATTTGATTTCTTGACTGCTGCTTCCATGAGAGTTGATTGTTGACCTGAGCAAAATAAAGTCGTCTTTGACAACTTCAATCTTTTCTCCATTTATCTTGATCTTATTTATTGCTCCAGCAGTGAGGATTTTTATTTTCTTTACACTGAGATGCAACTCATACTGAAGGCTATTGTCTCTGATCTTCATCAGAGAAATAATGTAGTCCTTTCTCCTTCATTTGTACTTATTTTTTTTTAAATTTATAAATACTAGTCTTTCCAGCTATTCAAACAATAAACTAAACATTTTTTGTTCTCCATAATAAAAAAAGTACATGGGCCAAATAATAACAAACTCCTGACCACATCTAAATTTCATTATTAATGGATGAATAGGAAATCAAGCCAGAAGCATTACCTCCAGCCCAATTTTATTTCTTTGCATGTGATTAGTGTTGTGTTAGCACTTATAGTATATGAAATTAAGCTGAGATGAAATAATCTTTGATATGAATAGTTGACTGTTCTATTTACTTTCAGTACTCAGAATCTTATACTTGCATTTCTTCACAAACCTTACTTTTGGCGCTAAGAAGTTTTGATTTGCTGGTAAATTACTGTTTGATCACCAAAGAGGAAATTTAAAAAGAGAAAAAATGTATCTCCCAAAGTGGACGACCAAAACAGTGGGCCTAAACTTCTCCAAGTAGACAATTGCATTTTTCATCCATATCTCCAAGTCATTCATCATTTTCAACCAGAAATCAAATCCTCCCACCAGTTAACCTACACCTGGAAAATTAGAAAAATTTGGCATGCTTTTACGGAAAGACTATCAAAAAGGTTCTAAGCTTAATCCCCCAATTAGTATAACCTGGGCCCTTGGTGTCTTCCTACTCAGAGTGGCTCTGTAAATGGTTTTTGAGGAGACGGGTTCCGAGATGGGTTTGAACCACCGAACTAACGCTTAGCAGGCCGGTTCCGGTGCTTATCCTATAGCGCATTAACAGAACTCCACTCAGAATAACGTAGGAAGCTTTTAAAAGCTACGACCAGGCTCTCCTCTCAAAGATTCGGTTTCAGTTGGTCTTCACCTGGGGAAACAGCATTTCAGAAATTGGTCTTTTTGTACAATAAAATGATTTCTAGATTTTTGTGGGCATCGGTAAACTTTTTTTTTTTTTTTTTAAAGCTTCACAGATGTGACCTTTTGTTTAGCTAAGCTGAGAACTAGACAGGTCAGCGATGGATGAACACTCTCCAAATTCCTACCATGTAGAACGGAAAAAACAAGAAGCCTCTGAACCCCAGCAACATGCCTCGTTTCCCCAACAGAAGTCAGCCTCTTCTAGGCCCATCCGAAACACCGCCTCTCACCGCACCAGGCCTTCCCTTGCCCACCCCAGATCTCATTCCCACACAGATCTCCACCCGCGTATCATCCTTGCGGAAGCTTGCGGTGCCGAAAGAACCGTGCTTTAAGCCCCGCCCATCACGACGGCGCCAAACTGTAAAACCCGCTCCGCCCTCACTCCAGGTCCCGCCCTACTTCAAATCTCTTTTCTTTCCACGCCACACTTCTGTTCAGACCCTGCTCATCTCTGTGCCAGGTTCTGCTTTCGGCCCCGCCCCACTTCAGGCCCCGCCCGACGTAACTCCTGCTGATCATGGTCCCGCCCCACTCTCTTCTGCAGGCCTTGCGGGAGAAATACGCCATTTCTCTGCGTCGCCGCCGGAAGTTACTGTGGTTTTTCTTGTAGTTCGCTTGTAAGCCCGTGAGCCAAAATGCTTTTTCCAACATTGGAGTGAGAAATGACGAGGCTTTTCTCTCTTGCACACAGAGTTGTTTTGGCCACTGTGACCTACAGGCGCTGCGGCTGTGGGGGGTTCGGAATGTTCTATGCCGTGAGAAGGGGCCGCAAGACCGGGGTTTTTCTTACTTGGTAAGTGTTATGCTTACCGAAGCTCCGCCCTCTTCCAAGCTTCTCATCTTCCTTTCTTTCCTGATTAGAAGGAGTTGTTGATAAGATTTTCACAGACGCCCTCTGCTTCCCGGGGGGATGTTCTTGATGTTGATGGTGGTGTGTCTTCGAGTCGGTTCTGACTCGTAGCGATCCATGCTTTTTTTAAATTGGAGCAGAAAGCCTCATCTTTCTTCCGGTGAGCGCCTGGTAGGCTCGAACTGCTGAGCTTGCGGTTAGCAGCCCAACGCGTACTGTTAAAGCATGTGTGCCTCATTTTTGTACGTGGGTTTTTAGGTAGGAGTCCCATTTTCTCGCTGATACACAGGAAACTGGGGAGTCTGAAAGCGCTCGTTTCTGGCTGTGGCTTCTGCCAGTCTTAGCTGACTTTGGTCCAGTAGACATACACGGTGTATGAATCCCTGACTGATTTTAAATTTGAGGGGACTATCAGAAATGGAAGGAGCTGTGATAGTGTAGTGGTTACGAATCGGACTGCAGACCTTAAGGTCAGCGGTTCGGAACTACCAGCTGTTCCGCGGGAGGAAGATGCGGCTTTCTGCTCCCGTAAAGCTTTACAGCCTCACAAACCCTGTACAGGGTCACCATGAGTCGGAAGCGACTCCACGGCACATAACAACAACACAACATTAGAAATGGCGCATATAGTTTGAGAGTGTCTAGTGAAGTCCTGGTGTAACGCTGTGGGTTAATGCACGAGACTGCAAAGCCGTTTGAACTGCAAGGTCGGCTGGTCAAGCTCACCAGCTGCTCCTCGGAAACCCTATACAGGGTCGCTATGGGTCGGAATCGACTCGATGGCACTTTACAACAACAAAAGTAGCTTCTTAATTCTTCTTTTTCAGTACTTACTTCAGAAGTTCTAACCAGCATTACCAGAACAATTTTTTTTCGCATCAAATTATGGAGATGGAATTCAGATACTAATTATTATTCTTAAGTGCTGTCCAGTCGGTTCGGACTCAGCGATCTCGTGTAGGGTTTCCAGGGAACAGCTGATGGGTTTGAATTGCCAACCTGTGGTTTGAAGTCCAATGCTGATAATACAGCGCCATACCAGGGATCCTCAGATAACATGGAGATGGAATTCAGATAACCTAATCTTCCTAAGGAGCTCTGGTAGCATAGTGGTTA